AGGGAGCCCCAAGCCAGGAAGGCAAGTCACGGGCCACTCTGGGCTGCTGAGGGGCAGGAAGGGGGTAGCTCCCCTGTCAGGAACAGAAGCCAGGGGGAGTCCTTGTGAAGCCAGAAGGAGCTGTCGGGTAATGCTGCTAGGTGGCCCCCAGGCCTGCTGGGCTGGGACCTTGGGGAGGGGCCAGGTATTGTCTGGAGCCAGCTGGCCAGTGGTAGCTGGAAGGGGTGGGAGGCATTGGCACGACCGGGTGTCTTTTGTGAGTGGATTGCTCCCCTGTCAGGAACAGAAGCCAGGGGGAGTCCTTGTGAAGCCAGAAGGAGCTGTCGGGTAATGCTGCTAGGTGGCCCCCAGGCCTGCTGGGCTGGGACCTTGGGGAGGGGCCAGGTATTGTCTGGAGCCAGCTGGCCAGTGGTAGCTGGAAGGGGTGGGAGGCATTGGCACGACCGGGTGTCTTTTGTGAGTGGATTGGGGCTTGGCCAGGCTGCAGCACTACACCGCCTTCTCTGCGCCTGGGGACATCCTGGCTCCTTGCTCAACTCCCTTCGTGACTGGCTTGTCGCCTGGCCCCTCCCTTGGGGGCTACCTGGCCCGTGCCCACTGGGGGTCATTGCATGCAGAGCGGCCAGGCCCGTTCCTGTAACACGGCCTGAGGGTGCCGGCCTGGAGGCCCTTGTGTTGCGGTGTCCGATACCGGGCCTGGGAGGCAGGGACATGACTCCCGGTGGCACATGGCCTGTGATGGTAACAGCTGGAGATGGAGCAAGAGCAGCCCCTGACACTGCCTGCCGGGAACAGGGGGCACTAGAGCATGGGGCCTGCGGGTTTTGTGTCTCAGCGGGGCATTAGCCATTCCTAACGCGTGGCCCTACCCCGCAGGTGCTGCCCTCTGCCTTCGGAGGCTGCCATGCCATGCTGAGACCTCCCGCCCAGGCACAAGGGTGAAACCAGCTTCCTGGGCAGCGGTGCCCAACTCCGAGCCGCACGCAGAGGCCGTCACGCCATGGCTTGCATTCCAAATCTGACACTCTCCCGGCGCAGGGGACTTTGTGTTTTTTGCCCTGGCACCGTAAGGAGCAAGACACCAGGGCTGATCGCGACCCTCTCCAGCACGGTGCCTGGGGGCACTGCACGGGGACACGGGTAATTTATTTGGGCCTCGCCCCACAGCACGAGAGCACAGCGGGCGCAAGGCAGATCTGTACAGCAGGCACACCTGGTGGCGGGCGACTGAGGTGACTGTACAGCACTCGCGGAAATAAAAGCGATTAACCAGACCCCCGGCCTCGAGTATCCAGCCTGGGCGAGTCCCAATGGGCTGCGAATGGGGAGCTGCGGCTACAGGGCACGAACCATATGTCCCACCAGGCTCCTGGAGCATGAGCAGCTGCTCAAATGCGTTCCTTGTGGGCGCAGCCCCCCCACAACCTCCGTGGGCCAAACTGCCGCACAGTCCCATGCGTTGGCACGGAGCAGGGCCGTGGGTAGACAGCTGCCGAGGCACTGAGTGAGATCTGACTCCTCCCTCTCCCGTGCACCCCCGAGGCAAGTGCACAGGATGGTCTGTTTCGGGGTCCCCCTGGGGAACAGCAAGGGGTGGTACATTCCGTGGCCCTGTTGCTCCAGACACAGCAGGGAGCTGTCACTGGTGGGTCTCCCAGCTTCCCTAGGACTGTCCTTCTCCCTGCTTGTCAGCTGGGAAGTACTGATGCTGGCAGGTTAAAGGTGATCACTAGGCTTCAGCAGCAACTGTCGAGAGAGCTGCGCAGAAGCATGTACATGAGTCCCAGAGTCACTATTGCAGGCTGTCAGGTGATGCTGGCAGGCAGCCCGACATCGGTTAGACGCAGGGCGACCAAATTCACAGCCATAGAAAATGCATCACAGACCATGAAAGCAGGTCTCCTCCTGTGAAATTTGGTACTTTGTCTTTTTTACTCTGTGCTGTATCGATTTCATGGGGGAGACTAGCAGTTCGCAAATGGAGGATCCAGATTCAAAGGGGAGTTCCGGAGGGTCACAAGGTTATTTAGGGGGGCACATTGTCACTGTTACTTCTGTGCTGCCTTCAGAGTAGTGCAGCTGGAGAGCAGCGGCTGTTAGCCAGGTGCCTGGTTCTGAAGGCAGCCCTGTCAGCAGCCAGGCAGAAAGTGAGGGTGGCAATACCATACTATGTTGCCCTCCTTTCTCTGCTGCTGCCTTCAGAGCTGGGCCACTAGAGAATGGCTGCTCCAAGGCGTCCTGCTCTGCAGTAGCAAAACCGCTGTAAGGGTGGCAATACTGTGACAGTCCATCCTTCCTTCTGCATGGCTTTGCCTTCAGAGCTCGGCGGCTGCTGCTCTCCAGTTGCTCAGCTCTGAAGGCAGCAATGCCACCAGCAGCAGCTCTGCAGAAGTAAAGGTTGCGGTACTGAAACTTGCCTACCACAGCCTTGCAAAACCCCTCAACTTTTTGGGGGTCAGGACCCTAGAATTACATCATGAAATTTGGGGGACCATTGCAGCTGGGTCTGCAGTGCTGCCTCAGCACCCAGCTGCAGGCCTCTTCCCACCCCTTCCCCCCAAGACTGTGCTCAGCCACCACTCAGCAGCTGTTTCCCCTTCTGATGGAAGGAGGAACTGCTACTTGTTTGTGGGGGGCTGTCTCTTGTCAGATGCCTGCCTACAGCTCACACTGTTTTCCCCTGGCACCCCACCTCTTTTTCCATCAGCCTGCCCTGCTTCTCGAGCACAGGCCTCTCCCATAAAGCAGCTCCCCCCTCCGCTCTGGGGGCTGTGCAGGGTCCCAGGAGTGAGAGACTGCTCTGAATACTCGGCTTGCTGAATATTAGGCTTAAAGTCTGAAGCCTCCCTCAAGTTTTTCAGCCCAGGGCTCTTTTCCCCTGTCCATGCACTAACATACATGTTTAAGAACATAAGTCCCGTTGGTTGTACACTGGTCACCCATGAACAGTCTCCTACTGTTGAGGTAGCACCTATATGGATGAGTCCCCTTAATGCCCCCTTCCACCAGTGATGAAAAATCCAGCTGTCTGAGTTGGCCCTGGTATAGCAGGAGACAGCTCGGGCCCTGGAGGCTTTGCCTCTAGCCCTGGCAGAAAATGAATCTAACAAGACAGGCTCAACATTTGAGGTGAAGGAGAAGTTTTGAACAGGGTGGCAAGAAGCTCTGATTGGATCCATTGGGGGCATAGAGATGCATACACTCATGCTGAGTCTACAGTGGCAAGATTTTGCGCAAAAACGTGCTGCTTGTCTATGCTGGCTGCGAATTCTTGCGCAAGAACACTGATGTTCTAATGTAAGACATCAGTGCTTCTTGCGCAAGAACTATGATGCTCCCACTCAGGAATAAGCCCTCTTGCGCAACTGTTCTTGCACAAGAGGCCAGTGTAGACAGTCAACATGAATTTTTTGCGCAAGAGAGTGTCTACACCGGCACGGATGCTTTTGCGCAAAAGCACATGCCAGTGTAGACGCTCTCTTGCGCAAATACTTTAACACGAAAACTCTTGCGTTAAAAGTATTTGCGCAAAATCTTGCCAATGTAGACGTAGCCTCAAGCAAGTGCAGTGCACTTGTATTTCAAAGCCAAACCTACTCTAAAAGCAGCAAGGGCTTGAACACAAGAACTGGAAGGGACTCGGAGAGGTCATCAAGTCCAGTCCTCTGCCCTTGTATTAGGACCAAGCACTTGTCCAGATCATCCCTGCCAGGTGTGTGTCCAGCCCGCTCTTACATATCTGCAGGGATGGTGATTCCACAACCCCCCTAGGCAATTTATTCCAGTGTTTAACCACCCTGATGATGTTTTTCCCAATGTCCAACCTCAATCTCCCTTGCTGCAATTTAAGCCCATTTTCCCACAGTGAGAACAATGAAAAGGTTTCTCACCTTGTTGGTTGTCTGGTGTTCCAAAACCTAGTTGCTCCGATTGAACCTTTTTCCTGTCAGAGCAATTACAAGGTTTCTCTCCTCTGTCCCTTCTGACTGAAGCTTTTCCCACAATCAGGAGTTGAAGGGTTTCTCTCCTCGGTGGATTCTCTGATGAATAATAAGGCTTGAGACATGACTGATGCTTTGGTGCAGTGCTTGATCTCAAAACCATAGCACTGCATAATCATTTACATGTTCAGGAAGAAAATGCACAACTCTATAAAAAGAACATTGACGTTCTAAACTCAAGTCTCTTGAACGGTTAGGAAATGCTGCATTCATTCTGCCCTCTTTCAAAACATGGTTTATTTTGTACAATTGTACCCTGTCCCTGCAGTCTTTGACATCTTAACTTTCAACCCCACCTGCTTCAAGACTGACTGCATTAGCTCAGTGAAGTGGGGGGAGTTGTGTTGGTCCCAGGATTGCAGACACAAGCTTTTGAGCTTGCACAGAACTTACCTGAAGGAAGCTGGTCCAATAAGAGATTCCCTCGACAATAGCTGGAAGCAGAAACTGGTTGAGAGCTGCTGGCTTGTGGTGAACCTAACTTAAAACTTTCTTTCTAACTTTGTCCATCCATGTGCAGAATACATTTTGTTACGTGCACTAAGATGGGTGGATGTGCACCACCAGTAGATGCAAATGCTGCCGCCACCGCGCTGCCCTTCAGCACTTCCCGGGAGACAGGCGGCACGCGCAGAGTTTGCAGAGCGCGCGGCTACTTCAGAACGCTTGTGGTGAACCTAACTTAAAACTTTCTTTCTAACTTTGTCCATCCATGTGCAGAATACATTTTGTTACGTGCACTAAGATGGGTGGATGTGCACCACCAGTAGATGCAAATGCTGCCGCCACCGCGCTGCCCTTCAGCACTTCCCGGGAGACAGGCGGCACGCGCAGAGTTTGCAGAGCGCGCGGCTACTTCAGAACGAGGCCGCCGAGCGCACGTGGGAAGGCAAAGCCCCGCCCCTATTCCGGCTCCACCCACTG